GCCAGATCCATCCAGCCTCTCTGGATGGATCTGGCTAATGAGAGATGCAGCAGCACCGGGAGCTCAGAACCGCATACAGCGCAGGAGAACGGGAGAACCAAGTGTCATCTCCAGGACTGAAGTCTTAGAGAGGTTCTGGGATTCTTCCTGCGTTCCACACTGCTGCCCATGTTGGCTCAACATCACTAAATAATGTTGCTGGGAATGGGAGTGGGAATTTCCTGCATTATCAGCTCTAAATTCACTGGATTCTGGGAAGTTCTGGATAATGCTGCAACCTCACACTGAAATTCAACTCATTGTTTCATGTTTTCTGCTTATTATTGAAGAAATCATGAAGTTTGAAAAAGAAATAAACTTTAACTGGATGAAAGCAGTGAAGAAGAAATCAGACTTTAGTCTGAAGATCCTCAGTGTGGATCAGTAGAATATCAGCCATATGTCTGCAGTTTAGAGTCAACACAACTTTACCATCAGAAATATCAGCACTAAACTAAAACATGGTGACTGACCTCAATGTCTGTAGTTCGCAGAACGGAGACTGGAGAAAACCACAGAGCTGCTTCACTCCACCATCTTTCAGGTCGTTGTAGCCCAGGTCAAGTTCAGTCAGATGGGAGGGGTTGGACTCGAGAGCTGAGACCAGAGAAGCACAGCTGATCTCTGACAAACTGCAGCTTTCCAATCTGAATAAAGAATAAAAGAGGTTTTAAAGCAACTGGAGAGACAGATTAAAACTAAAATAAAAAAAAAAACGAATAAAAATGTAGCAAAATAATTTTACTGTAAACTAAAGTCCCAGAAAAATGATCAAGTTAAAGTATTAAACCAAGCAGAAGCAGAACATGTTCTAATGACGTGTGAAGGTCCAGATCAAGGTGTGTTTATTCGTTTTTGAAAACTTTTTGTTCCCTTTCTTTTGGTATTACCTTTTACTCTTTAAAATTAAAAGATAGTGGCGCCTCAAGGCAACGACCAAGAACAGCTCTCGAGAATTTCATGGAATGTGCCGCTCAACACACTAAAAACCAGACATCAATCCTGCATACATGACCGCCAACACCTGCTGGAGCTACGGTCACATACAGTAATGTTTTAATTATAGACATTCTTGACCATTTAAAAAGCTGCAGAGCTATACGGACGGATGTAAACAATACAACAGCGCGCTCACTTACTAAAATGGAAATTTCTTAGTTAGCAGAATTAGGTTTTTAGTCCCGTTTAGATCTATTTTCTGTATTTCTCTTTCCAAAGAAAATCATACATGACAAACATGGCTTAAACTCAGACAGACAGGTGAATTCAGAATGTTACTTTACCGTACAGCTTAAGTATTCAGCTCCTGAAATCATTTTATTCAGACTGTGAACAGTTAGAAATTAATCTTAACCACCCTATTGAGCTGATGTGAGAAGTGAATTTCTCCACTCTGAGATCATTAAAGTCTATCTTATCTCTCTCAATTTTTCTTTAAGATCTGGCACAACATAGCAATCCACTACTTTAGGAAGTCACTTGTATGTGTGGTGGATATGTATAGCTGACATAATTAGACTTTTGCTTACAGTTATTTGAGTATTAAGATGTTACTGTTACAACAAATGTTTAATGTACTCAGAAAGATATACCATATATCAAATTATTTATGTTTGAAAACAAAATCAATTGAGATAAAAACATGACAACCTGTACATGGTACATGTTGCACAATAGTTAAAATATTTTTATCACATGTTTTAAGCCCCTTAAGTAGTCATTTGTTTGTGGAAATATGAAACCAGTGTTGTCTTTGCCCCAAAGACAACGCTGGGGAACAATAGTCTGGAGAAGTGAGAGGAAGAAGGAGGAAAGAAGGAGAAGACAGAAAAGAAAAACGAGAAAAAATAGTTCGAATCCTGCTTCGGACATGCATCAATCCATGCAAACTTTATCAAAGTGCTCCAAATCTATCAAATATAGCTTTAAAATTCGTACTCGTCATCTCCCTCTTTATCCGGAACCAGGTCGCGGGGACAGCAGACTAAGCAGAGACTCACAGATTTCCCTCTCCGTAGACACTTCCAGCTCTGTTGGGGTAAGCCGTAGGCCCTTCCAGACCAGCCGAGAGACATAGGCTCTCCAGAGTGTCCTTGGTCTTCCACTGGGCCTCCTCCCAGTAGAATGTGCCTGGAACACCTCCCGAGGGAGGCGTCCAGGGGGCATCCTAAGAAGATGTCTGAGCCATCTCAACTGACTCCTCTCGATGTGGAGGTGAAACGGCTCTACACTGAGCCTCTCCCGAATGACCGAGCTCCTCACCCTGTCTCTAAGGGAGAGCAGAGGCGCACCTTGTCAGCAGGCAAACCAAGCAACTGCTTGGAGCCCCGAGCCACTAGGGGGCCCCCTAGAGCCAGCTACTGTACACCCCGTAGATAAACAGCAACAGGCCAGCATTAAG